TGCGAAACAGGATTCTCTACCTACGCAGCCACGAAAACAAAATATCGCAATAGACTGGACGCCGAAGCTGATATGAGACTCCAACTTTCTTCCATCAAACCTGATATCAAGCAATTGATGAAAAATAAAAAACAGTTTCATACCTCCCACTAGTTAGATTTTTTCTTTTTTAATGTTTTCTATTATTGTCCTTACCAAGTGGTGAAGTAAATAATAATTAGTAACGGATACATTGTACTTTTATTATGCTGATTAATATAGAATACACTTATAAAAATAATTGTTTTATTGTAGGGTTCCATCAAGTATTTTGCTTCCCAAAAGGGTTCCGTCATTTAAAAAGTTTGAGAACCACTGGTATAGTCAATGAAGGCAAAAATCAGCTGCAACCACCGATTTCGTTGAACCGCCATCGATTTTCATGAAAATTGGTAAGTAGGTGGGGGATACCATAAGAAACAAAAGTGACATAGTGCCAACTTGCGCTTTTGCCCTGAGGGTAGATACCACCCCTTCTCGGGGTGAAAATTATTTTAATAAAAATAACTCCAGGAATCGATAGAAAGACAAATTCTAAGTAAAATTTGTTATATTAAGTTTTCGGAATAAATCAATACTTTCTGAGTTATTAAAGATTAAATATTGTGATTTTGCGTGATAAAAATACATGTTTAAGCGGTTTTTCATAAATAACTCAAAAACTATGAGCTTTACAAAAAAAACATTAGTACCAAAATTGAAGCTAATATAAAAACAAACAAACACCTACTTTGAAAAACCTTCTAATTTCAATTCAAAGTGAGCTATAGGTAATTGTATGTACATATATTTTTTTCGGCAAGTACTTCATCTAAGTATTCAAACCTAAATAACGGGAAACCGATGAATTTATGACATACACTTCCGGAGCACTTTTTAAATTCCTCAGAAATACCTTTATAATGAGCACTGTAAAAAGTTAATAGCTTCAAAATTGAAAAAGTTATGATAAAAATAAGACAACACTTATTTTTTTAGGAAAAACGAAAAATAATTCCAACCATTCATCAAAATGCATCGGTTTCCCGTTATTTAGGGTTGGAAACTTGGATTTAAGTACTCGTCGAAAAAATATATACATACAATTACCTATAGCTCACTTTGAATTCATATAAGAAGGTTTTTCAAAGAAGGTGTTTGTTTTTTTTATTAGCTTCAATTTTAGTAATAATTAGACTTGCAACGAATAGTATATTCGGCAGTATACCGAATATTCGGCGAGGCCCCTGACCGAATAGCTAAATATTAGGCAAAAGTATTCGGCTGGATTTTAGCGCCAAAAACTTGTACAAACGTGATTGTTTCGCGCCCCTTTGTTAGCAGTGCAATTCAGTCAAACGCAGTTTCAACAGAAATGGATCTTTTCTTAAATATTAGTAATATATCACGTCATGACAACCCATATACATGGTGGCAGCAAGGAAAATTGAATTTCCGTGTTTGATTAAGATTGCAGCAAAATATTTGTCGGCGCCAGGAAGTAGTGTTTATTCAGAGCGCCTTTACACTGAAGCTGGGATGGTGTATGAGAAAAAAAGAATTTCTACTACTTCCTAAAAATGCAGAAAATTTAGTCTTCCTTAACCTTCCCCTTCTAAATTTTGATTATGAAAATAATTCAAATGCATAGAAAAATTCTTAACTTGTTTAATACAGAAAATGATTAAAATATGTTCCTGTTTTATGTACCAATGACTACTTAATAAATGATTATAAAAGAAATGAGAACCTTACCCTTTTAAATTTTGATAACCACAATAATTCAAATACATAGAATCCTCCATTTTTCCAATTCAGAAGATGATTATGTACCAATGGCTACTTTAATGATTATATATAACAGAAATGAAAATATGAATATATACCTACGTAATCAATCGATATTAATTTTCATTTTACCAATTATTTCTCTATGACAAAATATATTATTTAAGTATTCGGTATTCGGACGAATAATATGTAGGTATTCGGTATTCGGCCGAAAATAATAAAAGCAGCCGAATAGGCCGAATACCGAATAGTAACCGAATATTCGTTGCGTCTAGTAATAATATATTTTTCTTTAAACTCATAGCTTTTGAAATATTCATCATCAAATAATACTTTGGAACAATGTTAGGAACAACTAGAACAACTTGGAACAACTTTAAAAATAACGAATTTCCAAACATGGGGGGCTATCTCAAAAACGGTTTTTTTTGCCTGACAGCTTCAAATTTGAGTTTTTTCAAATAATACTTTGGAACAATGTTAGGAACAACTAGAACAACTTGGAACAACTAAAAAAGTATTGAATTTCAAAACATGGGGGGCTACCATAAAAACCTTTTTTTTGTCTGGCAGCTTCAAATTTGAATATTTTCAAATAATACTTTGGAACAATGTTCGGAACAACTAGAACAACTTGGAACAACTAAAAAAATATTGAATTTCCAAACATGGGGGGCTACCATAATACGTTTTTTTTGTCTGGCAGCTTCAAATTTGAATATTTTCAAATAATACTTTGGAACAATGTTAGGAACAACTAGAACAACTTGGAACAACTAAAAAAATATTGAATTTCCAAACATGGGGGGCTACCATAAAAACGTTTTTTTTTGTCTGGCAGCTTCAAATTTGAATATTTTCAAATAATAATTTGGAACGATGTTCGGAACAACTAGAACAACTTGGGACAACTAAAAAAATATTGAATTTCCAAACATGGGGGGCTACCATAGAAAAACGGTTTTTCTTGTCTGGCAGCTTCAAATTTTAGTTTTTTCAAATAATACTTTGGAACAATGTAGAACAAACATAGAACAACCCAGAACAACTTAGATAATAATAAAATTCAAAAAGTGGGGGGCTAACTTCACAGAGGTGACAAATAACCCACTTTTCGCTAGTAAGTACATACTTATTGGAATCCCTATATTTATTAATCAGCTCGCGATAATATTGGTTTTGTAATAATTCTACAAAATTCAAAGTAAATAATGTAGATTTTTATAGGTAAATCACTCCTTTCATCACCCTACGATGTTGTAGCTAAGAACCAAGTTCCCATCTACTTCTTTAAGGGAATTCATTATAAAAGTTACTTAGCATTTGTGCTGAACAGTGATACGTTATTCGGTATTTTTTTAAACAAAAAAAAATTGGAAAATAATTGCCATGATTACCCTACTATTGTACTCTTGATTCAAGCTTTACACTACCAATAAAAAAGGGCCGATCACAAAGTCTTTGACCTGTTATATGTGAACGCTTTAAAAGAAAACTACAAAGAGAACTATAAATTGATAATATAACAATAGGGACTGACATTGCATTTGTGTATATCACAATCTTAGACGTCCGGCATTGACATGACAATGCAGCCACTACCAATTTTAAATAGTCGACGAATAAAAGTAAATGAATTTTGTATTTACTGCTAAACTATTAAAAAAAACATAAACAAAAGATGACTGTTTGAGTAAGTGCTAGTTTACTATAAAATTTACATACATTAGAGATAATTTATGTAACGACTTGATTTAACTTCACACATTTTTGCGGAAATTGATTCCCATCTGTAGCTTTGACCCCGCTGGTAAAGTCTCTATATGTCTTAATAAATCAATCTTTTAGACCGACGTACTTAATAATTCCCGCGATATTAATTCCTTTACTCAAGTAACAAGACTACGGTATATACCGTCTTTAAATACTAACTAACTAAAAAGTGTGAAATAAAAAAGGTAAATTTAAAAAATCAAAAAACCCGACTGCTTAATTATACTTCAAATAAAAACTGAGAGGAAAAAAACAAGTCCAGTAGTCTATAATTCTGTTAATAAGGAACGTAGCTACTTTAACAGTCGGGACCCACTGTTGAAAAATATTATGTATTCTTGAATATCTAATGGGTCCCGACTGTTAAAGTAGCTTTGTTCCTTATTAACAGAATTATAGACTACTGGACTTGTTTTTTTCTTTTTAGTTTTTATTTGAAGTATAATTAAGCAGTCGGGTTTTTTGATTTTTTAAATTTACCTTTTTTTTCCAATATTTTATTTCGAGTCGGATTTTCGTCTTGTGTCATTTTAAACAGCTACCTACACCCAAACATTTGAATCGTTAGATATGCCATTACCAGAGTTTGACCGCACCGAAGTCTGTCTACTCTCGAATGAGCGAACTGCCATCTCATCATATCTTTTCTAATCAGTGTTCATCTGATCACATGACAGTTTGACGTTGGTGATTAAAATGTCGCAGGCTTTTTTTCGTGAAAAGTGTCTGAACATACCTTCGCGTGCCTTCCGAAAATGCACTAACAATACTAGAAATACAAATAAAGCTAATGGTGTAACATTTCACTCGTAGGTTCTTAGGTCATAAATATTAAAATCTGATCGGACAGCGTATGACAAAGAAAGAAGTTTTGGAAATTATTGCAAGACAAAAAGAGACATCACTATTCTCTCGGTACCGCGCGTGTACTGTGCGTTTTGACGTTTGTCCGCCGTAGATTGAGAATTATTTAATGTGTTTATGTGACTATTCACGACTTTAAGTGGTTATCTTTAATTTTAAATTAATTTATCAACTTTCTATTAACCACCCCCTCTAGCATGACCACCGAAACGGGATATGATAAAGCGATGTATCGGCATTAACTGTCAGACTACAGTGGAGTTTGACAGTAGTCTGACAGTTAATGCCGATACATTATATTGCTTTATCATATCCCGTTTCGGTGGTCATGCTAGAGGAGCTGAACTCGTCTTCGTTATCATTAATACATGCGTAGTATAAATAATTATTTGCATTTAGTAAATTTTATTAAAAATGTAAAAAGATTCAAGTCACAAGTTTGACATAAATTTTTTAGTAGTTACAATTGCCCCGGGTGACGCAGATGAATGTGAAAAATGGATATAATCTATAAATTTCACGAACATGAAACTATGAGAATGTTTTTTACTTACTGTTAACTCAGTTATCGTATTGATATCTGCCAAATAGCCGGATGGAAGTTGCACAGTCAGCAAAGTGAGTCCACTTTCTGTTTCGTTGCCCTGCGGGACGAACCTGCCGGCGAATTATAAGATGGTTTTAGAGAACCCTAATTGATTCTGTGGAGTATTGAATTTAATACATGGAGAAACTTGTGAGATATTGATTTCAGTAATTGGTAAAAGAATCGGTGCCGGAGATATTGAGTAATATATTTTACTTAAGCTATTATACTTGGATGGTTTAGAAAATATAACCCATTTGGGTGCAGTTAAGCATAAATGCAATGTGGTGAAGATATATAAGTACTGCACTGGTCACAGTTTTTTCTTTTCTCTTGGTGTTCAACTCTAGATTTTCGGGCGGATCGAGCGCGTGGACACGTGGGAAAGCGTTCGCCGCCTGTAGTGTGGCAGGACTGCCAGATGTTCGGGAATCGTCTGGATTCTCCCGACATGTTATGTGATCTTCAGACTCCCGACAAATATCGAAATCCCCCGCCAAACAAACATGACGACGACGCACTTTTCGTTTTCGCTGTGTCTTGTTCGCGTCTAGTTTAAGTAGGGCGCGAGACGTCCGGCTAAAAAGGGGTGGGATGATGAGTGTAATTCTCCCGACAACAATCCCAAAATCAGCATATTTAGCATGTAATATTTTGACTTCTCGATCTGTTTGCAGCGGGCTGGGTACGTACCCGATACACATGGAAGCTGCATACGGTGCACGGTGGCCACCTGGTCGACGCCCGGGTCGAACGTGTAGTTACGTGGGGGAGCGGTCACCGGCTGTAGTGTATGTGCAGCGGGACGGTAACGGAACCGATACATATGGACAGCTGCATACGGTGCGCTGTGGACATCTGTACCCCTAGCACGAACTATTATCGAATTCGAATAGTTTGCAAACCGAAATGTCAATGTCAAATTTTGTATGGAAACTTGAACAGCAGCGGCACAAAGTACGTAACGAGAACTAAAAATCAGTACACATTTGACAATGACATTTCGGACTCGCAAACGATACGAATTCGATATTGGTTCGTGCTAGGGGTACTGGTCGACGCTCGGGTCGAATGTGTAGTAACGTGGGGGAGCGGTCACTGGCTGTAGTGTATATTCAGCGGGCCGGTATCGGAACCGATACATATGGGCAGCTGCATACGATGCGCTGTGGATATCTGGTCGACGCTCGGGTCGAATGTGTAGTTACGTGGGGGAGCGGTCACCGTCTGTAGTGTATGTGCAGAGGGCTGGTAACGTACCCGATACATATGGACAGCTGCATGCGGTGTGGAGTCGACACCTGGTCGACACGCGGGTCCAGTGTATATCGCGGCCAGGCACCCGTCACGTTGGTCGAGCCGCTCGCCCACAGTCCCACTGCTGCTAAGCCTCGCCCTTCGCTCACCGCACTCACCCATCGCGGGTTGCCGACCTAAACGTGTGTCGCTACATGAAAAATTGATCCAGCTCGAAGGACCAAATAATTTGGTCAAGTTTTGAATTATATTTAGTGTGTGTATTTATTAAAAATGCGTACACACTGCGACAAGGATCGTAATGAATGTAATGGCAGTTCAGGGAGGGTGTCACTGTCTACGTAAATTACTTACAAAATATTAGAGCAAAATATGACGTTACAAAGACGGCGGCGTTAATTCGAATTTTCGTCACGTTCATAAAGATCCTAGTCGCACTATAAATCGTAATATTTATTATAGATATGAATATCCGCGTCGTCTACTAGAATTATAGATTCATTTACGCTTACCTGTTGCCTTTGAATGATGAGTGGATTGCTATCACCTATCTGGATATATCTCAGCTCTTCAGAACCGCTGACGTTGACAGTTATTCTTAACTTTGTCGAAGTTTTCATCAGCTCTGCGTAATGAGCTAACGCGTCTAACTGAAATATAACATTATTATGAAAACTTCATACTACGCTCCGACTGGACACTTTAATATTTTTTTACACTATTTAGATACATGAGTTGCGACTAAGAATATATCTTATTTAACGTTAAGGACTATAGTTTATAGACAAAACTTAGTGCTAGAACAGAGAATCTTGGAAATCACTCCCCAAACAATTTTTTGAATCCTTTGATTGATGTAGGTAGGTATGTAGCGTTAGCTATACAGCATCGGACGGCATGCTTACATCAAGTATCTGGAGACTATTATAATAATAAAAATATTTTGATAGATTGTGTTGTAATTCATATGCAACACTGATGGTTCAGTGGGAGCATTTTAGTGGATTTTCGTTGACGGGGGCTGTGTCGGTTTGTGTTATCTGCTCGTTTCCGTTTTCGTCGCTCGGCGGCGATGTATATAATCTGTTTGCAGACATCTGTCACTTTTATGCAGCTTGAATATCAATTAATGGTACTTTAGGTCTATTTGTAAACATACATTGTAAAATTGATTGTATAAGACTGTTTGTTACCTAAATTAATTAAATAAATAAATACTATGACAGGTACTGACTACATCAGGATCCGGCTGCATTGGACGGTACGATTGCATCAGGTATCTGGCGACTGGTTCTGCCTTATCTTCGAGACGAGTGGCGAGCATAGTACGTAATCCCCACGCCGCCGTGTTGGCTTCCAAACTGTTCGCCTTCAACCACGGGTTGCGCCATTCGTTGGCGCTTACTTTTCGTGACCAGAATAATGTAGTGCCTGTTGGGAGCAAAATAGAAATGATGAAAATTTGTCTATAAAATAAAGTTTCTCTTTAAAATCTTGACTGGTGATATTCTATTGGTATTAACTGCACCTATTATACAGTGATTTTGAAGTTTGATTAGTAAGACTTAGTAGATTTTTACTGTTGCTAGAAAACTAAGACATTACGGCTCTTTTTCTTTCCATTAAATAAAAAAAAACCTGATCCTGCTCGAAGGATCATGTCAAAGTTTTACAGATTATTTTGTGGCATAATATTTTTAAAGTTCGTTGGGGGTGGGGGTATAGTAAAGTCATACATACATAATTGTGAATTGTAAATTATTATGATCATATAATATGTATTTTACCGGTATTATTGATGTATTTGTCCATATACTGGATTGCGATAGAAGCGTCCGGATGTTTGGCAGCGGCTAAAGCGCTGCTGACCACTGCGAGAGTGTACGCGTCTAGCGATGGAGACAGCTCCTTTGCGAGGAAGTCCACGGCTTTGTTGATTGCGTTCTTGTAATGGATGTCTTGACCCTGCGAGCAAAATTATTGTGAAGCAGTTATCTAGAGAGGTGACAGTCAGGCAGTGGAGTTTTATTTATAGGGTCCCATTTTTACCCTTTGGATACGGAACCCTAACTAGCTGGTTATCTCACCTGTATTAATTTAAAAAAGTTATATTGAGAGATTATTAATATTGTAATACTCACTATTACTTTAAGCGAGTCGGACTCGCGCACGAAGGGTTCCATACCATTATCTATATTAGACACTAAATTATAATATCAAGCAAAATGGATTTTGCCATTGTATGGGAGCCCCCTTAAAAAAATCTTTTATTTGAATTTAATTATTTATTCATAAAGTGAATATACAATTAAATATTTTGTGAATATTTGAAGCGTCTACCTGTTATTCTTATAAATATAGAGTAAAAACCGTAAAAAAGAACGTTTGTTGTATGGGAGCCCCCTTATTTTTTTTCTATTTTTAGTATTTGTTGTTATACCGGCAACAGAAATACATCATCTGTGAAAATTACAACTGTCTAGCTATCACGGTTTATGAGATACAGCCCAGTGACAGACAGACGGACAGCGGAGTCTTAGTAATAGGGTCCCGTTTTCCCCCTTTAGATACGGAACCCTAAAAAAATAAATTATGCTGTCGTTTAAACTTTTGAAGGGAATCAATTACGTCATACATAATTTTTCCCGTTTTGATAACATTTTTCATTGGCGCTCCGCTCCTATTGGCTGTAGCGTCATGTTATATTGCCTTAAGTCTTTCTCGATAAATGGACAAATAATACACAAAAATAATTTTGCAGATCAGACCAGTAGTTTCTGAGATAAGCGCGTTCAATACACAAACAAAAACTAGCGCGAGCCGAGTGCTAGTGCTCTTTGACGTCACAGCCATCGCGCGGGCCCACGCGGACCTGTCGAAAAATTCGTCTATAATTTGGTCATAATTTCGTCAACATTCGTCGTAAAACAAAAATTTAAACACTGTATTTTATGATACCCTTAGCTCTATAAATCTGCATTCTCAACTAAAATCGTGACGGATCCACATTGTTTATTGAATTGTTATTTTAAGAATTCAACTGCTAAATTTATAAATCTATAGAAAATATTACTAGAAAAAAATGCCACTCGGTAGAGTAGCGCGTTCTATATTCATTCTGAAGCAGTGGAGGCTATCTCTTGTAAAACTTTTAGAGCTCGATACAAAGAAGCTGTTGAAATTGAAATTTGGCAATTTTGACATCTTACCTTAGCCTGTATAAGCACTAGTAACGCGTGCGCTGCTAAAGGTATCGGCGCTTGCGCATGCGGATTGTTCTTGATTGTAGGCGCAAGACCCCAACTACCGTCGGGTAGTTCGTTTGATATCCACTCTGAAGCAGTGGAGGCTACCTCTTGTGAAACTTTTAGAGCTCGATACAAAGAAGCTGTTGAAATTGAGATTTAGCAATTTTGACATCTTACCTTAGCCTGTATAAGCGCTAGTAACGCGTGTGCTGCTAAAGGTATCGGCGCTTGTGCATGCGGATTGTTTTTGACTGTAGGCGCAAGACCCCAACCACCGTTGGGTAGTTGCACGTTTGATATCCACTCTGAAGCAGTGGAGGCTACCTCTTGTGAAACTTCTAGAAACCGAGCGCAACGGGACACCCATCTCGCCGCTACCGCAGTCATCCTGACAATAGAAACGGGGTCTTTATTACACTTTTGTTGAATCATTTAATAGGTGGATTTATTATATTTGAAAAACTTTTAATATAAAAAACCCTTGTTACTGAAGTTCTAATGTCAAATTAACGTTGCCTTGCTTTATTTTGTCGGTGTATTCGAAATATAAACAGTTTTATGTAACTACGTAAGTACTTGTTTTTTAAATGGGGATGACAAACTTGTAAGTGAGGTAAATCATATAAATGTTACACACGTAAGTTGCTGTGTTTTATAAAACCTATCAGCATAATTTCTCTCGTGTGAGCGGAGTTCGTTTTTAAAGTTAATCATTTCCGGTCAGTTTTTGTACATGACCTGCTTGGATCGGCCCTTTTCTCCCACTCTAATTCAGCTGGTTACTTATGCATCTCACAAAATTTTGCCAACTTATAAGTTCCTTAGTAGCGACTATTGTTACTGAAATCAAAATATATTTTACCAAACATCTCCCTTGGAGTCTCGGTCGGTTTCAGAGGCGAAGGAGCCGTCAGAACGGCGATATGCCATGAGTCTTTGGTAGCCCAGGGAAGCTAAAACTTGTGCGTCTTTCGCTATAGAAACGGTCTCGTGATTCATATTCTGCGAAAAAAATATTTATCTAAGTAATTACAATAATCATATTGCCTGTTTAATATTTATTTCTTTACTTATGTTCTTGTCTGTGATCGTTCTGTTTGTCACATACATTTCCTCCTACTCTCCCACAAATTCTTTTTTCTTATAGGTAACAAATTTCTTATCCATTGGTAAGTACTAGTTAACAACTGCAGATGAAGCCGGGATCAACGGCTTATCGTGCCTTCTGAAGCTTGAAGATGGTGTACAGGCATTTTGTGCCCAAGCGATTTAAGGAACATACGATCTTTTCTTGTAAAATTTAAGTGTTTGTCAAATTTGTTTGATCGTTTCAGGCTATGTTTGAGGCGTTGGACAAACAAATTACGTGTTTGCTGTATTTCAGGTAATGTAGATTGACGCCGTGTTTGAAAAACAAATTTGAACGTGTACTGCGTGGTTTGTCAGACAAGATCTTACTCTTCCTGATATGTCCTCATCCGTCGTCGTCATCATCTCAAAGGGCCTCGCTTGACGAATTTGTTTGATTGTCTTAGCTAATGTAAACGTGAAGTTTATCAAGCAAGTTAGACAAGCAAATTTGATCGTTTACAGTACAAATAAAGCATCTATTATTAATAAACGTTACCTGCAGATATTCCAATAGTACGCAGGCAACGGCTAGCGGTCGAACGGCGTGAACGGGGTCCGCAGATGGCGCGGGAGGTGTTTTTAGAGCGTGCAATGCCGACGCTAGCAAATCTTCCGTCCCCTGAAATAATAGTAATCATCAGCCTATTAATGTCCCCACTGCTGGGGCACAGGCTTTCCCTATGGATGGAATAGCGAGATTGGGCCATGACCCACCACGCGGGCCCAGTACGGATTGGCTGCCAAACGTGCCTTCCGAACCATAGAGGAGCTCGAGATCGTAAATATTTGGTCACTCATCCAATGACCGACCACTGCGAAAGTTGCTTAACTTCAACGATCGCAACCAAACGCGCTAACCACGTGCGCCTACGAGCTCCTCTAATACTAAAAATTCTTGAAATAATAAAAACACTTAATAATAAGAACAAGTTTGATACGAAAAAATACGTCAGAGTTGAAAGTCTAGATCAATCAAAAAGTGGGTTTAAGCTCTAGAGAAAGTAATGATAACTGCCTACCTGCAGGTATACAGGACCTAAGCGCGTTCCGGCTACTGGATCTAAAGTCATGTTGGCGCGCGCTACTCCGTTCCTCGCGTTCAATATACTCCAAGTCCACACCTCTTCTTCGTATCCATCCTGCAATGAAGGTATATGTTTCACATCTTGCTTTTAGGTTTCTGTACCGCAAAAGGAAAAAACGGAACCCTTATAGGAACATTTTGTTTTCCGGCCGTCCGTTTTTTTTAGGAACGCGTGGAGGTCATCATCATCATCATCAGCCTCTTAATGTCCCCACTGCTGGGGCACAGGCCTTCCCTATGGATGGAATAAGTAGATTGGGCCATGACCCACCACGCGGGCCCAGTGCGGATTGGCGGGTGCTAACGACTGCAGATGCAACCGGGACCAATGGCTTAACGTGCCTTCCGAAGCACGGAGGAACTCGAGATAGAAATTTTTGGTCACCCATCCAATGACCAACCACTGCGAAAGTTGCTTAACTACAACGATCGCAGCCGTACGCGCTAACCACCTGCGCCATCGAGCTCCAAGCGTGGAGGTATCAAACTGAAATTCATATCTAATACTCAGGTCTACTGTCCCTTGGAGCTGTGAAAAAATGAAATTTCTAAGCCATAGCAATCAAAAGATACAGCCGTTTATGCCGCAAATTTTCGAAACTCGCACGGGAATCAAAACCTACAGGGTACTTCCCGTGAACTTAGAATCTTGAAATTTGGTACGAAGTAACGTCTTATAGTATAGATAAAGAAAAAATGGCGAAAACCGTAAATTTGTAATTACATCATATATTAAAAACACATTTTGAAAATTTTAAAGTTACCACCTCTTTTCTCATGAACGCGTAGAGGTATTACATTGAGTTTATACGGAACCCTCGGTGCCCGAGTCCGACACGCACTTGGCCGGTTTTTTATATAATAGGCGCAGCAAATTCAATCAAAGATCAAGTGGGACTTGATCTTAGATGCGAGAGGAGTACAAAGCTGACGCGACGCGACAGAAAATCCAGATCATCCGAGAGAATCAGAAATCTCTGAATTCAGCGAGAGCTCTGAAGTAACTTGTTAATATTTATGATATTCTGAACTTCATTTTCTTTGTGTAGTAGTTTCTATTTAATTTTGTTGTTCCCACAAGTATAAGACATAAATGGTCCATCCCATCAGAAGAGGTCTTAATCTGAAGGATTTGTATAAAGATATTATCTAGAACCACAATACTCATCAAGACTAATTAAATGAGCCCAAACACGATGCAATTACGTCTTTTTATTAAGAAGATCCTATGGCCACCTTTCAGCTTCATCATCAGATCATGGTTACATATGAGTAATGTACTCACCAAGACGAAACAAACGAGCCCAAACTCGATGGGACTGTGTCATTTAATTAGGCATATCCTATGGCTACCTTCCAGCTCCACCATCAGACCCTGGATACCATCTAGAGACAAAGTAATCGTCAAGACGAATCATACGAGATCAAACTCGATGGCGTTACGTCGTTTGATGACGGAGTTCTAAGGCCATCTTCCAGATCCATCACCAGATCAGCTACATGATACCATATTGTCATATTAGTATACCAAATTTCAGCTGAATCAGATAACAAGAAGTGGCCGAAAAATTGTTTACAAATTTTGAAGCTACACATTTATTACATCCGAGTAGTGCAAGTTAAATTTAGCTTTTAATAATAATATAAATGCATATAGTTTTAAACTCACAGTGACATCTATGGTGGAAGAAAAGGTAGCAGATACGCCGCCGCCCTTGGCGTCAATAAGCAACTCGGCACGGCCCGTCTGCACCATAGTGATCAAAAACGCTGTACTGGCGGAGCCTTCTGCCGGCACTGATACTCGTAAGCGATTGAATGTTTCGATTTCTGAAACCATAGAAAGTGTACTTTTAGATGTTAACAAAAAAGGGATAGGTAACAAAAAAGTGTATGAAAGAACACACCTGGAAAAATGGCATAAAGGGATAATCTAATTGGTAGAAGAAAATTCATAATGCACCTACGCGAAAAAGTTTTTACAACTTGACAATTTTATGGTTGCAATGATCGATTAGAATTTGGTTGGTGATTAAAATAAGAATAAGAAGTTTAAGTAACTTTCATCATCTCGTTTTATTATATATCGTTGTAACAAAAGAGATATATTGATGGCAAGAAAGCTTTTGGGTATGACCACGGCGACGACAGTCTCACCTTGTTGCATTGTAGCGGAAAATTGGCAACTGATAGACTGCAAACTTATGCGATTAGAAGTCTAGAAAACTTACTTTTCGTTGCATTGATGTCGTTGTCCAAAGGTTCGAATTCGAAGAACTGTGCAGTATTATACAACGTAACTTCGAGGGATATGTCGACAGTGAGAGTGCTCTTCAGTACGACCACAGCGGCGACAGTCTCGCCTCGTTGCATTGTAGCGGGTAGTTGACAACTGATGGATAAAGGCACTGCGGTCGCGAAGCTTTGCGGTGAAGCTAAGCCTAAGCCCAGTTGTGGGTCCACGGCGAATGCTCCTATTGTCAACTTTACGGGCACTTGTGGTGGAGGTGTAAAACGTCCGGTTGATCCCTTGCCGTCGTTGCTGAAAAAAGAGAAAAATTAAATACAATATTGTTCAACAACATCTATTGATGTTAGATTAAACAAAAATCGAGGCGTTGGAAAAGACAATGCAAGAATGTTCTCTTGTGTTTATCTTATTTATTATGTATCTCAAGCGTATCAATTATGCTATGATGGCCGATTACTTTCAAACGAGCTTACTTACAAGCCTCTTCGCACACAAAGATTTTATTCTCTAAAGAAGTTACTTATCAATCTCAACGAAGCAGTGATTAGCATGTTCCAAATGCAATCGTGGAAGTTAGGTAGCGTACCTTCACAATGGCTGGTTATAGGATGGGTGACCCAAAATCTTAGGCTCTTACATGCTTTGGAAGGCATTAAACCGTTTGTCCTGGCTGCATTTACAGTCGAGAGCACCGACCAATTCGCATTGGGTCTTCATAGTGGATATGACATGGAAAGGTCCGTACCAGCGGCGACATTATTAGGCTGCTGTAGATTATGCCTTCACTATTATTATTATTTCAGATTTTTGGGGCTTTGCTATCATCTGAAGTATCTCTTTTAGCCCGACAGCTTCCAAGAAGGTCAAAACGTTTCTAGATTTTAGAGATTATATTTTCTCTTGGTGTATTATATGTCGTCCTAGATGAATACTACGTTTGTGGCTAAAAGGCCCACATTCACATAGATGGTGTTTTGGTGTTCCACGCTCCTGATTACGTGATTACAGTATTTACAGATACCAGTGTCACTTAATTTCATATGCATGATGACTTACTCAAGGGAGAAGTTGCCGAATGTCCACGTAGGTAGTGGTGCTATAGTGAGGTAATAGCGAGGCGACGGCGGTGGCGGCAGCCGACTGAAGGCATACGGGCCCGCTAGTGGGGGCCGCGTGCCAGACTCGGGGGCTTCGTGCTTTGGATCCACTGAAAAATTACTTCGTGCTATAGTATAATATGTGTAACTGAATAGAGGTACTGTTGTAAGGGTTAATCGGTGGAGATCCCTTCACTAATAGCTAGTCTGGGAAGTTTCCGGTTATCTGTCACTGTGAACTTGATCTATGTAATATGTGAGCTGATAAATAAATGTGATTGAAACATAGCAGCCTGGGTTTGATTCACAGATAAATAGATATACAATTGGAGCCTTACAAGAGGTACTATAGTGAGATAATAGCGAGGCGACGTAGGAGGTGGTAATCGACTGAAGGCATATGGGATCCACTGAAAATATCACTTCGTGTTATAGTATCATTGTCTAAAATAGTTTCTTAATCTCTCTAATCATTGAAAGTCTTTAGGTTAGTATAGGAGGAGTACGATATAATAAGAGACATTACCTCCGTTTTGAATTATGACTCCATCAGTCAAAATCACCACACCCGCATTCTGAAAAGGCAAAACATAGAAATATGTACCTATTTATTTTCATATAAAAAAAAAAGATTATGTAAAAAAAAAATATACCTTGAATACATCTCTAGACGTATAGCCTCCCAGGTCTAAACCTAGGCCAGGTAAATGTTCCTCGTTCTTGAATACCGAATGCTTAAGGCCAGTGAAACTTTCCACTTCACGTTGGATCTGAAAGAGTGGAATTAGGTTATAATGTGTTTGAAGAGTTTAATAAAATTTAAATAAAGATAAAAAGTCTGGAAAAGGACACAGTCAATAAAGTTCAGTTTTAATTTGAAAAAATAAATAAATAATCAAAATATTCAATTAAAATCTCTACTGAATATAATTTATTAGAACATATGTGATTTGCACTTGTATGAAACTCAAACACGTATTCCGAATATACAAACTAGAAACATGTGGATAAATATTATAAATATGAATACCTATAACTGTTACTTTATTACAAAAAATAAAGATGTGGTTTTTGGTTCTACTACACCAATGGTCAAGAGATGGCGCTGTAGTCTCCTGAATCGCGCTTTGGTTCCGTTGTTCCAGATTAATAAATACTTTTGATATTATAAATATGAATACCTATAACTGTTACTTTATTACAAAAAATAAAGATGTGGTTTTTGTTCTACTACACCAATGGTCAAGAGATAGCGCTGTAGTCTCCTGAATCGCGCTTTGGTTCCGTTGTTCCAGATTAATAAATACTTTTGATAGGCCTTCACAATGCAGTCGTTAGCACCCACTAAATAGAGATTCTATTTCTATTTTGTTGGTAGATTTTCTTAATGTGCGGTAAACACAAAAGTAACGCATGAAGTTGGTCGCTAAAGCGACCATGTTCATGCTGTTAAAATTTTGTGTTACAGTGATGCGCGCGCATCTTAAAATTTCACTCTCATTATTTTTTCATAACGCGCCTAAAGAAGTATAACTTCAATAACTTTGTTGACGTAACCAGCTCTATTGACATGTCGAGAAAGGTATGTAGCGAGTTCTGTTTACTATCTATAGATAGTGTTATAAGGTTGTTGGTTTAAGATACCTACTGGAAGTTCGACGTCGTCACTAGCCGCGTCGATACCTTTGTTTGTACCGTAGCCCGTTGGTGCCCGCGAGGCCGGCGACGTCGGCGCCCAGTACTACGGAATGAGCGCCGCCCGCGTCCGACACTTGTAGCTCGGCCGGCGTGTGCAATGTATTGTGTGTTGGTTGTAGTCACCGTGTTCGTATCGAGCCCGCTGCCCAGCCCGTTGGCGCCCGCGAGGCCGGCGACGGTGGCGTCTGCGTCGGCACCCAGTACTACGGCACGAGCGCCGTCCGCGCCCGACACTTGCAGCTCGGCCCGCGTGTTCAATGTATTGTGTGTTGGTTGTAGTCACCGTGTTCATATCGAGGCCGCTGCCCAGCCCGTTGGCGCCCGCGAGGCCGGCGACGGTGGCGTCTGCGTCGGCACCCATTACTACGGCACGAGCGCCACCCGCGCCCGACACTTGCAGCTCGGCCAGTGTGTTCGGTTGGAAGTTGGACGCTGACACTGGCCGCACCGATACCTATAGAGGCACAGGTAAATTTATAGTGCAATGCAAATGTATTGGCGGCTGTGAGGTTAGAATTTGGCGGCGCAGTATTACTAAATAAATAAAAAAAAAAAAAAAAAAAAAAAGTTTTTACCTTATGTTTGAGTAGATTTCGTTGCGGCACGTAGACAGCTGATGCGAGCATGGCATTGGTGGAGTCGAGGCGTGGATACCATGCTAGCAACACGCAGCCGGGGCTCATTTGATGAGTTACTTCAACGGATACGTCCACGCTGCGCCGCGCCGGATTCAACTAGTAAGAGAAAATTATCTTCATCAATTTAATAAAGCCTCTGCTGTCGCAACGAAGGCCTTCTATGAAGGTGGAGGAAAATCTATAGGCTTACGGTGCTTACGAGACCAACAGTTTTGGCGGCCTAACCAAGACATATCGAGCACAAGAAATTAAAGTCATGGTTTCTCATTCAAAGTTCGATCTATTCGAAAGTAGCTAGCTAGCTTTAAAAGATATATCAAAATATACATAAAAGTTAATGTTGAATTCTCACAGAAATTAGGTACAGACATCGACACAATCGACAAGCTGATTTACTTATTTCCCGTATCTGATCGTCGTTATTCGAAATTTATCTAAATAACCGACGTTCTATTAATTCTTCAATGATTTTATAACTTAAAGTACCGAGATGTCCTAACCTGGAGGGTCTTTGCGACCACATAAGGCACCAAGTCCATAGGTTCCGTTGCTGTCATGCGAGCATGCATCTCGTCTTCTTCAGTTGTGTCTGGGATGAGAAGTTCCACAGTTAACTGTTCGCCCGAATAAAGTACCAAACCGCTCGTGCCTTGAAGGTCTACGCCACCACGATGTCTCCGGGCGCGATCACCACTTAATGCGCAAAGTCCATAGGTTCCTTCGCTATCATGCGAGCATGCATCTCGTCTCCTTCGGTCGTGTCTTGAGTGAGAAGTTCTATGATCAAGAACTGTCCTCCCGAATCTACCCGAATTAAGTACCGAACTGCTCTTACCTCGAGGGTCTTTGCGACTACAATATCTCCACGCGCGATCACCACATAGTTCACTAAGTCCATAGGTTCCGTCGCTGTGATGCGAGCACGCATCTCGCCTCCTTCAGTCGTATCTCGAGTAAGAATTTCCACGGTCAAGAACTGTCCTCCCGAATCGCTATTCCTTTGCACGTTTACTACACGCTCTGATACTTCTTTATATTTTATCTGTTAAGTTGAATACAATTTAAATAGGTTTTATATGGAACCATCTAGAAAAAAAATCTGAATCGACAATTAAAAAATCATCATCGAAATCGTTCTACAAATCTTGGAGCACATAACTCCTTAAACTAAGAAATTATTATACTGACTACATAATTGGGAACATCCTCCGTTCAAAACAAACTTTTCTTTCGAGACAAGAACCAATGTTATCAAATATGTCAAGATAACTTTATTACACTTACCACCAAATTAAGAGTGGAATTAATATGGGCTGCGTCTGGTACTAAGCTGTATGTGGCGACTCCATGATTAAGCGAAAGTGTGGTCACATTTACCGGAGCTCCATCGTCCCAAAGTCGTTCTACTGTTACATCTTCGTTAACGTCTATGATTTGCCCCGTTGGGTCTACTACTTCGATCTAAAATATTAATATAAAAATAATTCGTCAGTCATCACTCTCATATTTCGGATATTTTAGCAGTAAACTAATATTCAAATATATAAGTTTATCAGACTATAAAGTTTGAAAGTTACAAGTAACTGTATCTTACCTGTACATTATAAGGTAGCATCGGCTTAACATAATCCGGAGCGGTTACTTTAAGTCTATACGGCGTTCTCAAAAGCAATATTCTGGACGTAACATTCTGTCTTATGAGCGTATCTTTTTCCTCTAGAACCGCTTCGACGACCACTGGCCTCGCGGCATCTACAGCCAAATCAAGGTCTGTCTTGAAATCATATACTACTTGTGCGTTGCCTTTGAACGCAAGAACTTTGCGGGCTGGTGGCGAGAACACAGGCTGTAGAAGCTGAGAGAAGAATACTGCGTATGCTGATACGGTTAGTTCCCCATTCACTTGTAAACCGTTGAAATGCCTGTAAACATTTATTTAAAGTTGAGTTATGATAAATCTTTGTTGTATCATTAAAGTGTAGGTAATTGATACATCAGATTAGCAAACTGTTATTAACTTCCTAATATTGTTTTATTTTGGTGAGTGGTTCACGCGGAAGTAACTACTAAGACAGGAAGCTTACCAGCATTTATGTAGGTAGTGTCTAAACAAAACGTAAATTTAACATTCCAACTCAATTTATCGCTCAATCTTTCTTATTAGTTATATTTTACCAAGAAATTCAATCGCTCGCTGTTTCAAGACGAATAAACATCAAGGCTTTAGTGTGTAATTCAATGTCTCATTTTTTACGTTGCTTCCAATTACGTCTTGATATATTTATTTGATTCAAATGATGGCCTTTCTTTACTGATGAGTTTTTCAAGGAATTTTCATTGATTGACCTTCAGATGCGATTAGTTTACGTAAAGAAATTACACTTTGTAAGAACTAACGAGTTTTAACTGCACATGTAAAGGAATAAAAATATTTACTTAGCAGTAATATTGACAGTGAATCGGCCATCAGTGAAGAACGCTTGCTTTGGCAGGTTAATATCCATCTGGAATTTAGGAATCACGTAGTCCGCTACTAGGATGTGTCGCGAGTAAGTTTGCTCGCGTGTTTCCACCTGTTGATAATAAAAATAATCGTAATAAAATGTACCTACGAATGTAACGTAAATTTTGCGCAAAAACATGAAGCAGAAGGCGTTACCTGAGAATAAAATGCATTGCATTTATGAAAAATGTGTTTAGATAAATAAAGGAATGTAAAATGCTCAGTCATTTTAACTTCATATGTAGAGGTCTAATGAGTAGGTAGTCATTATATGAAACAGAAAATCAGAAATGTAGGTACATTTCTGATTACATTCTTAAAATCAATAATTTTGAAAAGGCGATCTGTGAATTATAGTTAATATATAAAAAACATAATTGCACTAAACCGAACATGAGTTTAGTTAAGAAAATAAGCGCTTCGGTTATATGTAATGAGATCATCATAATATAAAGTTCTATTTTCGTCGATTGGCCTATTAAGCGATATATTTACAAAGAATATGCGTAGATATCTGAAATAACATTGTTTTATAAAGAAACAGCTGTAACCGTGTTTCCTTTTTGTTTTGTTTTCTTAGAAGGCGATCATACTTAGTTATTTTTCTGATTCATATACATTCATATACATACTACATTATTATGTAAGTAATTAAAGTTAGTTGGCGAGGCTCCCCATGTTATCAGATATATGTAATCACAAACACAAAACTTTGAACGAAACTGTTGACCACAATGCAATGTTCATTAAGTTATATGAGATCCTTTTTTTTGCGAGTTACACAATAGTAGATTCGTATTATAACATTATAAAGATAGAAGCCAAAAAAAAGAACACAGAGCTATCGAACCGGAATGGATGATTGTACTACAGAAATAGGTTACATTGTAATTTAAATACTCAGTGATGGTAAACATCAAAGCAATATTTCCTAAATAAATCAAGCCAATGCATTACTTCAAAATTTTGTATAAAATTATTAAGCAACATCTAAATGTGACTCTTGACTTTGAAAAGGGCGTTTAAGAAAATCAAGTTGTTTTCATTAGGAGAATTGTAAAAGGTAGGTAATTCTAAATAAGGTTCGTTCAGAGCTTTTTTAAACATACGTCGTCAGATAACGGCACTATTATCTTTTCTAAGATTTACCTTTAGTAAATAAATAAAGATTGTATTAGTGATAATCATATTTGAACAATTTTCCTTATGTCAAATGGAAGTTCCGGAAAAGCTGATCGGTAACACCAAAACAGTCTCGACCAAAGGTTTGAATCGTGACGTGTTATCTACGTACTTACGTATCTATGTGATCCTTTTTTTTAAACACATTGACGTAAATTTTAGAATTTTGTATTACTCTCGATATACACTTAAAATAGTTAGTAAATAATTTCAATACTAAGACACCTTATATTATAAGATTATTTTATAACGCAATGATATTTATGTTTTATAATGAAATTAGTATATACCTGTATAGTCCATTCTCCCAATGCCGGCTCGTCTGCTATGACGAACTGGTCTGTGAAGACTCCTCTGTCTAAGGAAACTGCCAGCTTCTGCCACACAGGTGCACCTCCCGCGTCGAGTAGACTTACATCCACCGGTGCATTCAGTGGAAGCAAATATCTAAAGCAAAGGCATTATAATAAAAAAAAGATGTAATTAAAAGCATCGACAACTGGTTTAATAGTACTTAGGAAAATGGTTTTCGAAAGTTATTTGTAACATTTTTACTAGAGTTAATATGACGATTTTCATTTTAGTATCTCAAAGAAGAAGATTGGTTGTTTTATTAATATTTACGTTATCATTTATTATAAGTAAATCTGTTGAGATGTTTGTCACGGATAATGTAAGAGGCTTCTCGTTACTTCTAAATGTACAAAAAAACCGGCCAAGTGCAAGTCGGACTAGAGCACGAAGGGTTCCTTACATCAAACCGCGAAAGGAAAAATCATTTGTTTGTTTTCGTCATAACTTACAAAGTACATTATGAATCGGTGTTTTCAGTATTTGTTGTTAAAATACTGTATATATGACATCACATACCAAAATTTTCCATTTCTAACTAGTTTCGATTTTGAGATCTCGTAACAAAAATGATCTAAAATGACAACTGTGACGCCTCCCTTTTTTTGTTATTGAAAATAAAAAACAATAAAATAAAAATTCCTACTCAAAGTGCTCTAGACAATGATGTGTCAGATGCTGGGGTGAAAAATATATATTTTCGTCTCCTTTTCATTTATGGGACCGCCATGAAAAAATATTTAATTGTTTTTTAACTAAATATTCAATTTAGGGCAAGCATTCTACATAAAATACCAAAATTTCAGTATTTTAACTCATTTCATTTTCGATCTAGAGGCCCTTGACATACGGACAGATAGCCAGGCAGACGACAGAGTGACAGCAATAGGGATCCAATTTACCCTTTGGGTACGGAATCCTAAAATCACGTTTTGATTGCTACAGTAGTTGCCCACATTCCTATGTATTGAGACCGAGGAACGTGTACCTATTTTCAGTTTTCATTCATAAGAAAGTAATGTACACAAATACATTAAAGTAATACAATTAAATCTCTTTAATCTTCTTACAATTAAATGGGCATCAGCAATGGTGATTATCACATGATAACCATTTTATGTTGGACCCACTGTTGTCCATGATATTTTGTCCATTTTCTTCAAACAATTAGGCTTTCCATTGTGGAACAATATTGAATGAATACAGTCTTGGTCTTTATACATATTACGACATGTCATTAACAAAATAATAGTTATCTATTGATTTTATTGACCGATCATACCTGCGAAATATGTTTGCCTTTGGCCTCCCATTTAAAGAAACAATTAGACAAACAACTTTTCATGTTTAAGACTCTTTACGGACTTATTTAGGTACAAAGGATTAACCATTAACCATGTTTAGGTTTTCAGAAAATTTACTTTAAGGTATCTATGTAGATAATCGTGACGGTAGACGAGTAAAACATCAAGATTCCGACTAGTAGCCCTCGGGCTGCTCGACGCTGGCCGAATGCACCACGCAATTACCTGCGTCGCGAGGGTTTGTTCACAGCAAGGCTACGCGACGTTGGTCATTGTAGTGGATATAATGTTTTTCTTTCTCCCAGTCATCGAAAAAAGGTGCACAGTGATATTAGATTACGGACAAATATTAGAGATTAACTATTAATTCAAAGTGGGGTCAACGATCTTTCACAATCATACGTAATAGCGCTCTCACGCAAAGCAAGAAGCAACTCAAGACATCGCCGCCGCCGCACGGTGTGATGTAGAAAACGAAAGTGTCGTGTCGACATCGTCTAATAAACCGTGCTCTTGATTAATTTATTTCGAGATACTAGTAACAATTTGTTTGTCATGGAACAGCGCAATATTAATTTTATATAATTAGGTACTTCTTAAATTTTACTTAGTAAATACTTATTACGGTTTCTAAACGTTTTTTAAGCCTCCATAAATCCTCCATAAATCAGCCTCCATAAATCAAAACTTCTATAATATAAAAATGAATCGTTGAATGTGTTGCTAAGTGCATATCTCGAGAACAGCTGAACCGATTTCGATAATTCTTTTTTTTTTTAATATTCCCCGAAGTACGAGGGTGGTTCTTACGTAGAGAAAAATTAAAAAAAAATACTGAAAATGTCCAAAAACAACACTTTTCTATACCATACTAACGATTCGTAATAATACTTAAAAGTCAATTTTAACTTTAATACCATACCACAAAGGACAATGGGCAAAATTACATGGACACTGCACCCACGTCCGCCACGGCTTAAACTACATTTGTTTGAAAGGTATCATAGTCATGATCATTTGTGCCAAAGCGCATCAAATTCCATCCCGGGAGTCTTTAGTTATTTTAAGTTAAATAGGTACAATTCCATAGGTAAAAGTAACTATAACGAACATAATATTTAAAGATACAAAGACGAGTATATAGAACGGATATATTAATTGACGACCACGGAGGTCGTCAATTAATGTATCCGAGTCGAGTGGTTTGTACGCCGGGTTTCATGGTGTCGCTGGCTCGAGAGGTCCCGGGTTCGAATCCTGGTGGGGGCAGATGTTTGTGTGCTGAGTACGAGCATTTAAATTGATCCATAGATTTTTTATTAGCTCGTACGATTATAATGACGTACGCGATGATAATCGTGTTCCTATTTCTAAAGCGTGTTAGTTAAATATCAATGAAATAACAGGGAGCGCACAAAATGTAAGACATAGGACTGCATACGAGTAGACTAGTTGCAACGGCAACTGCAATATCACATCCTTCAACCCCCATACCCTGTTAGACGTTTTGAGGAGTCTCAGTAAGTGCAAGCAGCAAGCAAGCAGGATAGTCGGTAGGCTTTGTTGTTTAGTATTTTGTATCTGGTTGTACAGTAAGATATGATTCACTCACTTATTATTGCTAATATTATAAAACGAAAGTACTATTGATATTGAATGAATTTCTTTAGCTATTTAAATATCATCATCATCAGCCTATTAATGTCCCCACTGCTGGGGCACAGGCCTTCCCTGGATGAAATAGGGAGATTGGGAGATGACCCACCACGCGGGCCCAGTGCGGATTGGCCGGTGCTAACGACTGCAGATGCAGCCGGGACCAACGGCTTAACGTGCCTTCCGAAGCACGGAGGAACTCGAGATAGATGTTTATGGTCACCCATCCAATGACCGACCACTGCGGAAGTTGCTTAACTTCAACGATCGCAACCGAACGCGCTAACCACCTGCGCCATCGAGCTTCTCTATAAGGAGCTATTTAAATATGCCCGTGTGTAACCGGTCCCCATGACTTACACACAAAGGTCATCTATAAGGACTATGTGCGGCAACCTTAACCCCTAATATAGAACATACCCAGGTGTATATCTTTTGACCCCCAGGTTATTTTTTTTTGGTGCCATAATAAAAAAGGCTAGTTTTTCATAGATCTATCGATTCATACTAATTACATTGTTGGCGGAGATGGGTGCGTTTTGCCCATTGTCCTTTCAAATGTTAGTGGAGAGGTTCAGGGAAGGCAAAACAATTGAGTGACGTGATGTCAATAGAAGTTTGGAAAAGGCAAATATACCATTTTCAGTTCTTTTTATAATTATATGATGAATCATATTAGTCTACACTACAGCTCTACACCGAACCGAAGCGAGGGCGGGCCACTAGCCTGTAATAAAAATGAATCGTCGAAAAGTATGTATGCGCCTTATGTGCATCACTTCCGAACAACTGAACCAAATTGGGCAATTCTTTTTTTATTGTGTTGTTTATTGCCACGACAAGGTTTGTATAAAACAAAATTTTAAAAAAGTCATGAAAAAAATTAATGCAAGAAATATTTTTAAAATAAAGTTTGTTATTCCGCCATCTTCCGCAATTGAGAACTCACGTCACGTCGTCAGGTATTTGAAGTAATATTTAAGCAGTCGCGTTTTATTATTTTTTTAATTTACCTTTTTTTGTATTTCGTATTGTCGCCTTAGATTAAAACAAAAAGGGTAGATACGGCACTAGCCTCACAAAAGTGATCCGCACATATTGTGGTCCACGACCCCAATCGCTTTAGTCACAACTTGACATGCAAACGACGTACATGTGAACGCCAAAAAGAAATATTGATAATATTTTGTGTTTATATGATAAAACAACGCCTAAGTATGTTTTTAAAAAGTGCTCAAATTGCTCAAGAACTAAAAATAAAACCAACGGCATCACTTTTCATTCGTAAGTACTATAAAATATTTTTTTTTTCATAAAAATTGCTGTTTATTTTGAATCTTGGTCGGTAGTGCCGTGACGCGGATTTCGCCGTCTCGTTCGCGCTGCCGTTGAAACTTAACGTGCTGTTTCACTCGGGTCGGTAATGCAGTGACGCGGATCTCGCCGTCCCGTTCGCGCTGCCGTGGGATCAGTTTTTGTTTGATGCAAGTATGAACGTACCGTATCTACCCTTTTTGTTTTAATCTAAGATTGTCGCTAGCGTCAAAATCGAAATGAAACACCTAACTTTCATTCGGTTGAACCAAGCCAAACTGCGTTTGAAGAGTATATTTTATGTGATGCAATGAACACCGAAGGAGATGCAGCTAATGGTGTTGATTGACCATTCTCCTACCGACGCATGCACAGTAGTCTTCGTCATTATGAACACGAGCACGATGCAATGCCGTAAATGTTCGTCGTTACGGTAGGTGGGTCAGATCTATTCATTGCTTCGCGGCTTATGTAGTAAGATGGAATCGGTAGAGCTCTGAAGACATTTTTAATATTATTGAATTTAGCGACTGTTCACGACAAATCTGACATTGCAGCAGTTGCTTCTTTTGGAATAACGACCATATTGTTAGAAAAAAGAAATGTACATAGATTGATAGTTAAGGTGTTTCGGGGGCGGAATGATTTTACTCCCTAAAGATTTCCGTCAAACAGTGTCACTTATTCCAAGATCGACTACTGCTAATGAAATAAGGGCTTGCCACTATTAATCAATTTGTAGCGCCATGTAATGAATTTTTAGCTGACAGAAATTAGTTACATTGCTGAATGATCAATCTACAGAAGCTTCCTGCGAACACTGCTAACTTTCGTAAAAGCTGTGTTCCTGTCGCACGGATGGGTTTCATTTTCCAAGTTATAATAATTATTTATCAGTTTTTAATACATAACATTACGATAAAAAGTGCTTTAATTTATTTTATACTAGCTTTTCCGTTCTAGTTTAAACGTAGTGTTCGTACATTACTTCCTTTCGGTACATTATAGGTAAATTCCTAAAAACAAACAAACCGATAATGAAGTAAATTATAACAATAAAGTATACATTCATTACAACTATCTTGATAAAAATATAAACGTTTCATGTTGGTCTAAGGATTTACGCAATACGTGGTGATTTTTTTACTTTTCAATTTAAAGAAAGTCATAGAGGATGTAACATTCTACTGCATTACCTATACCTACATGATGAAACGGTCACGACAGTGCGCGACGATATTAGCTGTAACATCTTTACGCTCATTTTTGTAATGTTATCTTACTTGTTCAGTGCTACGACCAGCGAAGTTGACGGTGTCTCTCGGTTGGTACACAAGCTTGTCTATCTGCACGAATACGCAGAAGCTGTGAGGTTGGTACACGACCGGCGCAGCGGAGAGGAGAACACCGGTCCCGAAACTCGTACCATCATTAATGACTCATTAAACTATCGCACTTGTTCAGCGCTACCACTGCGAGGTTGACAATGTCTTACGGTTGGTATACTTGCTTGTCAGTCTGCAGTAAGGCATAGAAGCTTCGTGGCTGGTACACTACCGGCGCAGCGGAGTTGGATAGCATTCCCAAACTATTACTAGTAAATCATTAAATTTGTAATTCTCTCTCACTTATTCAGTGCTACGACAGCGAAGATGACGGTCTCTCCCGGTTTGTACACCCGCTTGTCTGTTTGCACGAAGAAGCAGTAGCTGCGTTGCTGGTACACAACGCAGCGGAGGAGAAAAGCGCTCCGAACTATTAATAAAACTCATTAAATTGGTAATGCTATCTTACTTCTTCAGTGCTACGACCTAGAATTTGACGGTGTCTCCCGGTTGGTACACCCGCATATCTGTCTGCTCGAAGACGCAGAAGCTGTGTGGCTGGTACACTACCGCGCAGCGCAGGTGAATAGCGGGACCGAACTATTGTAACTAAGTCATTAAAGATATGATATCTCACTTGTTCAGTGCTACGACCGCGAAGTTAACGGTGTCCCCCGGTTTATACACTCGCTTGTCTGTCTGCACGAAGACGCAGAAGCTGCGTGGCTGGTACACTATAGGTGCAGCAGAAGAGAACAGCGGCCCCGAGGTCGAACGAGCCACCAGCGAGTACTCTCCGGGGCCTGGGTCGTCGATCTAGGTACATATAAATACATTTATATAAATAAACTAGTGGACCCGAATGAGTCAAACTCAAAATATCTCTATTCAAAATGGTTGCATAGTACAACTCTTTTGAATCGTCCAACATTTTTATTCCTACTATGGTTATGGGCATTTTTTTTAAGTTGCAGAAAAAACGATCGCAATACAACTCCACTATATTAAAATGACGAACAACGAAGACTTGTCCGATAAAAATATTTTAAAAATAATCCTGAAACCCGATTGCAGCGTAGGTAAGGCTAGTGAGTAAATTATGTATTCTTTTTTGTGCAACGTTCTCATTTTTTTTCTATAAAAACTTTCTACAAATTATAGTAAGTACTTACATCGAAATCAACTTGTCGCGACGTAGCGGGCGGGACTTGCACCTGCCGTCCCAGTGTGAACTGCTCTCCATTGCTGCGCCGACCCTCTACTGCTACGTATAGGGTGTAAGCCCGCGAACCTCCCGCGATGGCCACGCTGTATGAACTGAAGGGGCGTAACACCCTCGGTCCTACCACTGAGATACTGAATAACGAAACTAAAGATTAGATGATAACTTTTTCTAAAACGATGAACTTTGAAAAACTGCCTTAGTTAAACCTTTATATAAGTTCAGTTTGACCGTTTTTTTTAACAGTTATAATGATATTTTCTTTTAACTGCAGGCAGGTTTAATTTTGAAGTTAATTTAATCAGATAGATTTCGTGGGAGCATATTTTTACCTTTTTAATTACGGATAAATATAGACATAATTACAGTCAGAACTTCAAAACATAATTTATGTGCTTTATTAAAGCTATTGTTAACTACGAGATGGAATCATGTCAGCTTATAAGCATGATTAATATTAAAAGATTGAAATATAAGTAATGGATGAGGTTTTATTATGTATTGTAAAACGTACCATTGTGCGAGGTTTGCAGTTAACAGAACTACAATGATGCTACGAAGCATCACTTGAATCATTGTTCTGAAATAAAAATATAGCATTCGTAAATGAAACATGGATGCATATTCTATACAGGTTATAATAATAAAATAGGTATGTAACATTATTGTTCTTGGTTTCTAAACTTGATCTTCTTTGAAGAAAACAGAATTAAACTGAACATCTCTTACATATTAATACCCGCAACTGCTCAGCATAATAATAACTTCATTAAAGTACTTTTAATATCGGCGCAATGCAGTCATTAATGGAGTCACTACTGCTAACTGAAACGATCAATTGTATCTCACCACAAAATTAAGGTATATCTTTTAGTGCGAAAGCTTCTAACAAAGCTTGCTACATTCTAGCTAATAGAGATTTCATTTTCTCCGTGAAAAATATTGTATATCTACTAAAATCCTATCAGGCCTGATAAAGTTAAACGAAAAAAAACAACTTTGTTTTTTTCACTATTTTGGAAAAAAGATGAAAAAAACTTGGGACCTTTATTTTTTCTAAATTTGGGTTCTATAAGATTGTTTTTTTTTCTTTGAAAATAAATGTGTTATTAAGGTATGTTGTATCTGATTTTACACACATTGATTGACATCCTTCAAATGCACTCTGTTAATTGCGTTCATACTTGAAACAAACAAACTGAACGGGGAATTAGGAGGTTTTCCCGTACGCCGTGTTTGGCTAATATTTGAAGACTGGGTTGGTAATTTACAATTATAAAAGTGTGGTAGGTTTTAAAATATACATAACTTTAAATATAAACTAGTAAATATTGATCTTTATCTCTGTTCTCGTGAAAAAAACATGCTCTTTTACATGTATTTTTTTCACGATAGAAAAATAAACCATTCTTTGCATCTCTAATCAGGCCACATTATATGATTAATTAAAAGACCTACAGCGGTAACTAACAGTCCGTCGATATGATTTTAAACTTAATAGATTCTTGCTAAAGTTAACAGGTGGCATTTAAATGATTTTTAAAGTGCAAAATGAGATCTAGACGTTTTTTATGAACTAGGTAACTTCATAGTCATAATATAAAGCTAGTTGGGATAAAGAGATCCTACCTAGCTTTATATTATGACTATGAAATCTAGGGGAAAAACGAGAATTCAACATGGACATTATTAAAAATAACAATGATTCATTTATTTCCTACTCATTCATATAGGTATTATTTTGATATTGTATACTAGGTGCTTATTTACTTAACGATTTAATGGATGAGCCATAACTGGGCACAGATTGCTATAAAAATTGTGTTTAAGTCGAAGCTAAGATTATTGGCAAAATTGCAAAAAGACCTTAAAATTAATAATAAAATCTATAAAATATGTGAAAATTCTAAATAATATGAGGAAATCTGCAGATGGAGCTATATCAAAATTATTGAACAATGTATTAATAAGGCTATTATGATATTTATCGAACACATAATTATTGCAAGACTTGTTTTCCATTCACAGTTCTGTCATCAGAGAGGTGGGTGATACATTATGTATTGAATTTACATGTTTGTCATAGCGATTGAGTCGTGTCCGCCGGCCTTGCGTCCTAGCGCGTCTGACTCACTGTGACAACATCTTGCGTTGGCGGCACAGCCTTTTAGTCAGGTGTGGTAAAATAAACATCGCAAAAAAATATCATCCCACATCAAACCAACTAATATGGAAGACTATTAATTAAGTAAAACTAACTGCATTATAATTTCATTGCCAAAATTTTAACCAAAATATATAAATTCGTACATTTCTGTTTTTTGAGCTCAAGTGTTATGCAGGTGCTGCGGCAAGTACAAACTTTCTCTTAAAACGCATCACAGTCTTCTTTGTGATGGTTACGTTCTCCATCAACAAAACAATCGTGGCATAAATGAACGCGATTCCTAACAAACAAACAGGCCACAATCATGTCTATTACCTCTACACAATATTAAAGTATATTAAAAGCAGAACCTTTAGTGAAAATAAAGCTTAACTTAATAATTTCAATGCAATGCATTTGGTTGATGATGTGTATCTTAAAATACCTGCACTCTCCTAAAGTTTGAATGTAGAGCTTATTTGAAAATCCACAAAAAGCAACAGATGTTGCTAGTAAAAAGATCTTCCAGTAAATCAATATTTTTTGCACCGTGATCTCACCTGTCTGGCACTTCACTTGTTACCAAAACTAAATTATATACGTAACTTAACACTATATCACAGATCGTTTCGTTCGAGCGCGTGTTACGTTTCGAGGCGCGTGTTGAGGCTGCCTTGTGCAGTGATACTAGCGCGCGGCGCCTACGCAAGTACGCAGCCAAGTGGGGCGCTGCGAAGCCTTGCGAAAATCCACCATCCGCCGCCCGCTACTGACCGCACTGCACCCACGTCTCACACAGGCTCTAGTGCGGAAACAACCTACTTAAAGAACCAAGATAATACTTACCAACAGACATAAACATTTCCATTTTCATAAATAATTCGCACTTACATTAATTAGTAAAGTAAGGTCAAACAATTATTTGTATGCAGGACGTTGTACTCAAATCCATTGGAACCGTCTCGCTGCGGGGTAAACGCGATGCATTCACAAGAACAAGTTTTAGCGTATTCACAGTGCATTGGCCGAGATGCCCGCCCACCTACCATTGAATGCCGAGATTAATGGGTGTAGAAATGTACGATAGGGGATTCATTCAAAAAAGATTTTGCTTCAATTGAGTGTGTTGTAGCCATTCCCAATTCTTCAATTGAGTTGTATAATTAGCTTAAAATTAAATAAAAAATGTTTGTCTTTGTAAAGGTCACTATCATCTTTGAGTGTGACAGAGCTTCGACGAAATCTCCTGCGTGGAACCGGTTTGAAATATTATAAAAGAGCGACCGGTTCACCAACATAAATATATTTTGTGTTATGTTACATTTCAGATTTTAAAATTCGTCATCGTGATATAATCACTTTAACTTCGACACATACAGAACATTTCCATGCATTTAGACTCTACTTCTTTAAAACGGTAAAGAAACATAACTCTGTTCGTATTTGATTACAATGCTATTGTAAAATACTTGGAAATGTTTTTTTTTATAAAAAATACTTTTATTGTTATTTCAAGAACGGAAATAACTTACTAGCTACGAGTTCTTTTTTCAAAAGTCACGTAATAACAATTATCAAATATTTTTTATTTCCATTTAATACACTAAATTGATCATTTGAGAAAATGTGTGGGAAAAACGATGACAATGGGAAAATAATTACTACCTTGCAGCTTAAGAATGGCTAGAGGAATTTCGACGCGGTCCATGAGGGCCGCGGTAGCATAATTGGTCAGTGCATTCGCCCGGATTGCGAAGGGTGCGGGTTCGAGTCCCGTCTGCTGCCTGGTCCGCGTGGAATATTTTCTAGTTATATTTTCTTTAGATTTAAACATCAAACAGTTACATGCTTTAAAAAAATAAAAATTATAATAATAATTACTTTAAAAAAATAATTCCAACAAAAATGTAATCTTTGTTGTAGTATCTTAAAACGTTACAAAATATGGGTTGTGTGTGTGTCATATTTGTGACCTACACTAATCCAGAAATATATTATTTTTCTGCATGGAAAGTGTTACTATTACAGTACATTGTGTAGATCAGCAGCTAAAATTGGCACTGTCCGCTAAAAACGAGGCTAATGCTCGTTCCAGTCTCGCTTAACCCACTCTCTCAGGTTCAAGAGCGTGCTTTTGCTACTCTGCAAGGAAAATCAATGCCGCCTATATTGGTAGCGGCGGGGTCCTTGGTAGGTTGCGATATTGTGATTGCTGAACGTACGTTATCAATCGCATGAAGATTGGCAGTTAGAGCTGCATTGTCGGCTAAAGCCGTGGTGGGTAGGTAAGGTAAAGGTACTAACAAAGTTCAGTTGTCTGATTTACACAAAGTACACTAAACCTATTTTATATAATGTTCTATTATTCCGCAAGAAAAGAGTCAATGGCGCCTATATTGGTAGCGGCTGGGTCCTGGATAGGTTGCGATATTGTGATTGCTGAATGTACGTTATCAATCGCGTGAAGATTGGCAGCTAGAGCCGCATTGTCCGCTAAAGCCGCGGCTAAAGCTCGTTCTAGTCTGGCTGAACCTGCCCTCTCGGCTTCGAGTGTGGCACGAAGCTCAGCCAAGACTTCAGAATCTGGGTCTTCCTTTACTTTAGTATGAGGTCCACTTGTATTCCGAAGTTGCAGTTCAGCTACTAGTGCTCGGAGTCTCGCAATTTCAGCTGTAGGAAAATAATAATAATAATAGAAAAGATATACTAAGACAGAATAAAGTTTTCATATATTCTACTGCGTTGTTAAAAATATATTACAAGTTCATCAAATATTTTCTAACTGGGCACACTGACGCAAGAATTTTACCAGTTATGGTAACTGATGGTGACTATTCCATGAAGTACGAGGAAATGCTAAAGGACTCATAGTTATTTCTACTTACTTATAACGTGACACATTTATTTTAATACGAATATAGCAACTAGAATCCACCCAAGATTTGAACTGGTGAATTTCATTTTAACGAGATAAAATATAGCCTATGTTAATCAGGGATACCGTAAGCTGCTTACGGATAGCAAGTAACGAATAGCTATGCGTAAAGAGAGCACGTTCCAAGGCAAGCGCAGTCGGCCACGCGTATTTCTAATTCTAATAGTTAAGTAAAGAATTTTTGAAATCGGTCCATTCGTTTTTTAGTTTATTCTTTACAAATATAAAAATCTCGCCTCTTTATAATATTAGTATACATGAGAAAATCTATTTTAAAACTATACTAACAATGTATAGTTTTAAAATCACATTTGATGTCATTATTTTTCGAGTAAACTTAAATTAAAATTATTAAACTAAACTTCAAACAGCAAGTTCAGTAGTGGCGTGTTGTAGTTCCGCGTCTGCCAGTTTCCTCTCGCGTGCGTGAGCGGAGGCGGCGAGTCGAGCACGCTTGTGCAATTCCGAACCACCGCTCGCGCATCTCTCTACTCTACGCAACTCCGATTCCAGCCGGGACGATTCACTACCGTCATACATAGTTTTTCAAATTTTTACTCTTTAGTTTACGAGTAAACTTCAATTACCATTAGCTGCTTGAAGTTCAGTAGTGGCGTGTTGTAGTTCCGCGGTTGCCAGTTTCCTCTCGCGTGCGTGAGCGGAGGCGGCGAGTCGAGCACGTTCACGCAATTCCGAACCACCGCTCGCACATCTCTCTACTCTTCGCAACTCCGCTTCCAGTCGGGATGATTCACTACCCATAAATCGATATTTTAGATATTCTTCAACCAAAAATTATAACTAACCGGACGAGCTTTTAAAAAAAGAATGGATGCGTGTAACTTATGTACGCGCGTGAGAAGTTATACTTCTTTAGCATCATTAAAAATATTTTTTAATTGCATGCAAATAATTAATAATTACAATAAAATAATAAAAGGACTGGAAAATGATAGTTAACACAGTCAATTAAGTTCAGTTTTAATTTGAAAAATTAAATAAATATTCAGAATATTCAATTAAAATCACTACTGAATTAAAGTTATTAGTCCATATGTAATTAGCACTTGTAAGTAACTAAAACACGTTGTGTCTATATAGAAACTAGAAACATGTGGATAAATATTATAAATATGAAAACAGTGATCAGAGGCGACGAGCGTGCCAACATTGTTTTTGACAACGCGATCATCTTATGGAGCTCCGTGGATCGTTCAAAGTCTCTTTCGAACAGATGTCTAATAATGGTGGATTATTAACCACTAAGTGGTTAATAATCCACCATTATTGGACACTAACATTCATAACGCGCCCGCGGCCAACTTCATGGTGTTACTATTGTGTTACAGTGATACGCGCGCATCTCGAAATTTCACTCACATGATTTTTTCATAACGCGCCCGCGGCCAACTTCATGCTGTTACTTTTGGGTTACAGTGATGCGCGCGCATTTAAAAATTTCACTCTCATCATTTTTTCATAACGCGCCTAAAGAAGTATAACTTCAAAAATTTCCTTATTGCCACAAAATAATTAGATATGCGTTCAACACAAATTTAAGAAAAAATATCGAACAATTTGAAACCGTGTCTAGCTTTTTTGTAGTAAGACCGTTTGTATTTATTTCTAGTTCTATAGGGTTCGTTTGTATTCTATAGCTGTGGGTCCAAGTCCTACCTACTATTTCATGAACGACGGATGGGCAAGGATTTTTAAAACAAAGTACTAAATATTATTATCTGTCTCTCACCATTTTGTCCACGGAGTCGGTAAAAATAACAAAACATTTTGTTTTGTGGATATTTCAATTATATTTTCATTTTAAATATAAAACTGTTTGATTCATAAATCTCAAGAAAATGTTTACTAGAAAATTTCCACTCAGTCCAGATGTCGAGAGGAAATTTTCTAGTAAACTTTTCCTTTAGTCAATTCAATGTTGAAATAAAATCAAGGTTATACCTATTTTAAATTTTCATAACGTAAACAAACACCTATCCAGGTAGGACCCAGGTCAGGCCGTAGATTTTGCCACAAATAGTGCAATGGTTTCGCAAAAATTTCTACGAGTCCATAGCGCAGAGTGACGCAAAATGGTAACGCAAAATTGTTAAGGAGTGCATACAAGATATGTAACGTAAGGACAGTGCTACAAAATAAAACACACTTTTAATAGGTAAGTATGACAAACGTCAACTTTTACTCTTATCTTTAAGTCTTAAAAGGTGTTACAAAAAAGCGGAGAGTTCTATTGCTAGAAATACAATTCCTTCACAGGAACTAAAATCGAAACACAAATATTACAAAAGGTAATAATAATATTACAAAGCCTATGTGTGTAAGCTCCTTTATTTGGTAGCGTAAAATTAGTAGCGCAAATTCTACGCCCCTGGTATCGCAAAGTTGCATAAAGTCATTTTTGCGCAACTGTCGCGCAAACAAAACCCATTATGACTTGATAAATAACCTATTTTTTAATGTAAATTAAGCCTTGAAAGATGTCAAACATTTCATTAAATCGTGCGCAATAATAAGTATAGATATAAATCAAAAACTTACCGTGATATATCAAAAAAATGGGTGCGTGTACTTATACGCGTGAGAAGTTATCCTTCTTTGGCATCGTTCAAAATTAGTTTTTAATTGCATGCAAATAATTAATTAAAATAAATTAATAAAAAGTCTGGAAAAGGACACAGTCAATAAAGTTCAGTTTTAATTTGAAAAAATAAATAAATAATCAAAATATTCAATTAAAATCGCTACTGAATATAATTTATTAGAACATATGTGATTTCCACTTGTATGAAACTCAAACACGTATTCCGAATATACAAACTAGAAACATGTGGATAAATATTATAAATATGAATACCTATAACTGTAACTTTATTACAATAATAACATAAAAGTAACATTGAAAAATAAAGATGTGGTTTTTGGTTCTACTACACCAATGGTCAAGAGATGGCGCTGTAGTCTCCTGAATCGCGCTTTGGTTCCGTTGTTCCAGATTAATAAATACCTTTGATAGGCCTTCACAATGCAGTCGTTAGCACCCACTAAATAGAGATTCTATTTCTATTTTGTTGGTAGATTTTCTTAATGTGCGGTAAACACAAAAGTAACATGTTTTTGTGTTACAGTGATGCGCGCGCATCTTAAAATTTCACTCTCATCATTTTTTCATAACGCGACTAAAGAAGTATAACTTCAAAAACACTCTCCGCAAAAAATATGACACTTCCTTCTTTCAAACGATGTTGATGTTGGACTGAAAAAAATATGGCCGCTGACAGCGTATTGACCATAGACAAAGTTTGTACGGTGTTGCCACTACTCAGACTTAAATACTGCTTTTTTTTAAACACAACCAAATGGGCATTTATTAGTTGCGCAATAAAAAGTAGCGCAAAGGAATGGATTTTAACGTTTTTCGAAAATGAGTGAAAATTTATGAAATTACTTAGGTAATACGAAACGATATTTAAAATGTGGCTAGCTAACTATTATTGTATAGCGTAAAAGCAAACAGACTATCAAAAAGATTTTTATTTTTGATTTTACTGATGCTCAAAGTGCACCTCTACCGGGCCGGATAAGCGTATTTTACGAAAAATTCATCGCTTTTTGTAGCAAAATATATTATAAATTTCAAAGGTTTTGAAGATATTTAAATATATTTATTGATCGTGATTCACCATTTGTGAGGAAATATGATTCTGTTATTGAAAAAAATGTAATTACTGTACTTTTTTTTAAAAATGTGGCGGAGAGTTATGTTATAACTAATGTGGCAAAATTTACGGCCTGACCCACCTAATTATAAAGTACATCAACTTCTACTAACTTACGACAATTTTTGTACAACATAATGAAAAAAACTTACGAGCGGGCCTGTTCTGTGGCCTTTCTGACTAGTTCCTGCAGCTCTATATACTGACGTTGCAGAGCGGCATGTGCAGATTGCAGAGGTTGTAACTGTTGCAGCTCTCTCTCTAATGAGCTGAGCTGTAGTGACATCTCAGAGCAACGCTCTTCTAGGAGAATTCGTTGACGTTCCTTGTAATAAAATCGAATCTATCTTATTTTGACGTTATAGCAGCTAGCAAAAAGGAAGGTAAACAACTCTTTAACATTTATGATGTCATTGTCGGTATTTACATTGTGCCATTACCTTCATCATCTGTCTTTTTTATTTTGATGACGAAGAGATGAAACTGTTAGATTTGACGGTTCATCGATCGATGGTCAAAGACATACATAAGTAGAAAAAAATATTTTTTTCTTTGTTTCGAGTGTACGTGGTTGCAACAAACCAAGGCACTTTTGTTGGTTGTAGTGCTTTAACAACTAACATTATTAGCAGCATATTGAATTTCTAATGGTAAAAATTTAATGCCAAAAATATTTATGCTTTTAATAAAAAAATATAGCAAGCAATACTTATTTTGTATCAACTTTGAAGTAACGAGATTTTAAATGTTATCCGAATAATCACCCCCATATCTAACTGCATTTTTAGCCCAGTGAGTTTTTCCAGCGCTTGCGACAGAGCACCGGCATCATGGGTAGCGCTGGCCGCGGCCGTTGCCGCAGTGTTCCTGGCGCCGGAAGCCACGCGCGGCTGCTGCTTCTTGAGCGCGAGTGGTTTATAAAAAACAATAAAAATGATAGCCGAATAATCACCCCCAAATCTATTTGCATCTTTAGCCCAGTAAGTTCTTCCAGCGCTTGCGACAGAGTACCCGTAGCCTGGGTAGCGCTAGCCGCAGCCGCTGCCGCAGTGTTCCTGGCGTCAGAAGCCGCGCGCTCGGCGGCATCGCGAGTTGCTTCTGCTTCTTGAGCACGAGTAGTTTCCGCCCGATATGCTTCGCGGAGCCGCCCTTCGGAAGTCTATGTGGGGCAATGATCCGATGTAACTGAGTAAAATGGCGACTGTGAAATTAATAACGAACGCGCAGTTACCCCGCAAACGACAAAAAATTTGTTTATTGCGCCGCTTTCTTCGTTTTTATGATGCAAAAGAACTCGAATGCAAACATAAGTAGATACAGTAGACCGTTGTTCATATAATAAAACCTGCAGTACAATTGCTCTGAATCATCGTTTAAACATAATAGTTACTTATTTATGACACATGTGTATAAATAATTTATTATAAATATTATATATTTGAATTTGTAGCAACATTTGCCATGTTCGGTCATAGGAAAGTTAAAAAAATATGTCGAGCTCCTCCGTTGTTCCGAGGGCACGTTAAGCCGTTGGTCCCTGCTGCATCTGCAGTCGTTTACAATCACCATTATCTCTATTTCATCGATTTGGTATGCCTGTATATGTCTTTACCTCAGCAGTGGCGTCATTAATATGCTGATAATGATGACTATCTAATCTATACTTAGATTATTGTTTTAATCTAAGAATCTATACAGAAAACTTGACCGCTGGCGCTATTAATGTTTTTTTTTCCCTCGACACTCGCAGTTCCCGTCATGCTGATGAGGGGAGGGCAAGGGCATATAATATACTGAATTATCTATTACTCTCAATGTATACAACAACGCCGCTTTTGAAATTTTAAGATGGATCAAAAAAGTGCAATACTAAAAGAAGAGGTAGATAAATGAAGAGTAAACTGAAGAATGGAGGTAATTGTAAGTATAAAAATAAATGCGATAGTTTGTCGTGCCAATAACAGATATAACATATTCGGGGGAAAATACTTACACTTATAGACTGAAATTCTCCTAGTAGATCTAAAAATAATTGTTCAAATGAGTCGAATTCCTTCATTGTCAATGTTATGTAAGCAGGAGTCTAAATAAATAATATAAAGATGTTACATAAATTTTTACTTACAAATACTTTGTGGAAATTAAAGATAAGGCGGGAAATTCATTACTTTTGTCTTATTTCTTTTTTAAGATTCTCCCTTTTCAGGGAAGGCCTTTTCAAAGAAACAATGCCCATACAGCCAAGTCTTTAGTGTTATTAATCATTGTTTTTTTTTACATTAGAATGTCGGTGTGACTCATTCTAATGTTTCTTGGAGTGTTTGGCACGAAATGTATCGAGTTGGCTTTTCCGGTAAGCTTCTGTGAGGTAGTCAACACTACAATAAAGTCCTCACGCCCACTTGACCGGAATAGCGTATATTTTAAAGATTCCACTAATTCTTCAGTTGCGCTGCCGGTTGTAATACAAAATCACACCAATTTTATTTCACAATATCCACTATGAACGAATTTAAGAATAATTAAAATAAGACGCCAACCGCACTTGATGAAATCCCGCCAAAAACCTTTTCTCTTATTTTTTTATCCAAAGAATTAGACCGTAGTAGTTATTATACAGCCTAGTTTTTTTATTTAAACAAGTTCTTTCATATTTTCACTCTTTTTGTTAGTATTTTTTAATTCTCGAGCAAAACTACAGACAAATAAACTCGCGCAGTAGACGTTTTGTACGTTAATTGCTGTGCACTGCGCAGGCTTCCTTGCCTATGGTCGATGCTCAAGAAATTTTCCAGGGTGTGAAATATCTGTGTCGGTACGTTGTTATTGTTAGGCATATCGATAATTTTTGTGTTATTATAAAAAGGAAAAAGGTTTTGAATTCAGAAGCTAGGCGCACTTGCACCAAAATTCTTAATTCAAAATATAATTTTAAGTCTCATACCATCTCTTTGACCTAAAACAATTGACAAAGATGGAATGATGTACTAAACCATTACTAAACACGAATGTCCTTATTTGAATTAAGAACTTTGGTCTAATTGTTTTTATGAAAATGGTATTATTTTATTTAATACACGAAACAAATATTTATTCCTTTGATATTAGTCGCTGTAGAATTCTATAAGAGTTCTCATAATGAGATTATTTTAAACAAAGACATTAGGGGAGAAGGAGGCGCCTTGGCACAGGAGCAGATTTGAACATGTTGATTTCTGCACGTAATTTCATGTTAATCTATGCCGCAACTACATTTTAATATTGGCAGCACTAACAAAGCGCGCGCGTTTCTTTTTCAAAAAGATTTATGACCTTTCGTCGTGTTTGTACCAGTGAAGTAAAAAATTAATGTTGTAAGGGATTTACTATCTCGTGAGTAAAGGTTTCCAACTAATTCTTTCACAAAATTGTGCAGTACTTATTAGTTTTCAATCCACCTTGTAGTTTATGCTTGCCAGTTATTTCAAATTATTTTTTTGGTAATGTTTTATCTTCCAAGTGACTATGGGGCAGATTTAAAAGGGACGTTCAAATGCAAACTTCAAATGTTTTCTAATACATGCATTATAGCTGTAATACACAATTGTATTTAAATGCATCACTAACTGTAATTCATTATTTATAGATTGGTTACAACATACAAAAATAAGCGGTAAAGTACAATAAATGAAGATGATGTCCAAAATGCTGTTTTATGCGTCATCAACGGAACTATGAAACTTAGAAGTGCTGCAGATGCATATGGACTGATGCCGAGTACACTCTTCTATCAAGTTAAAAAATATCAAGAAAACATATCTCCCAGAAGCAAACTAGTTTTAGAAACGACTTTTTTTGTGGTTTAGAAGTTTGATATTAAGTTTTTTTATGTTTAATTTTGCGTCTGAGGCAGTTTTATATAATAATAATAACAATACTCTAAAACTCTTGTGCGATATAATTACTTTTGTTAACAAGTAGGAATAGTCAGACACAATTAAAAATTACTATTTTATTTTTGTAATGCAAGATGTAACTTTAGAAATTTCATATATGTTTATTTTATATTTTAATAACAATAAATATCATTATAATAAAGACAAATTATTACTATATCCACTCTTTTTTCTGGTTTTTATCCCATTATTTGTTTCTTAGGTTTTCACGCACATCACTCATCGAAAGACTTTTATTGAGCGTTCGGTTATTTCATTGTTCGATTTTTAATGAGCGAAATAACCGAACGCTCAATAAAAGTCTTTCGATGAGTGATGTGCGTGAAAACCTAAGAAACAAATAATGGGATAAGAAGGTAGCTCGACAAATTAAATAAAAGTTTGATTCTGACGACGTAGCTTGTAAAGGCTACGAAATGTCAATAAATAAATAAAGTTTCGTGCATTAACCCGTAAAAACTAGTTTTATTTATTTTATCCCATTGTTCAAAACTACCCCATATCGATTCAAATATGCCATGTGGAGACAGATTTGAATAAATTTGTGTTTAAAAAAAACACATTATTTCTCTTTAACGTTTTCAGCTAATTCAAACATTTCATCATCCCTTATCTATTATAGACCAGGGTCGATAATTTTAAAAATGGTGAAAAGTAAAAAAAAATATAGTAGGATGAAACCCATTAGAAAAGGTAGAGAATATAACAAAAATGAAAGGAAAAATAAATTACGGGCGATCTGAGGTCGGGAAGGGGGAGAGGGTGAGTTTTTAAGGGTAAAAAATGGTTGAGGGTGAGTTTTTAAGGGTAAAAAATGGATTGGAGTTTTTTTCATTATTAATTTGCAGTTTCTGAGAACATTTACCATAGTAGTGTATATTTTTTAATACCATCAGAAAGTAGAGATTTCAACAAACAAAGAACACCCCAACTTTTTTAAAAAAGCAGATATTTTGACGTGAGAATTTTCGATTGAAAATAAGGGTGCTTTTTCGATATAAGTCAAAATAAGGTGAAAAAATGAATATTTTAAATCGAAAAAATTACTGTATGTTTGGGACATACAAAGGTAAGTTTTCACCAAATTTCGTGAAAAAATATTTTTTTTTGCAAAAAATAAAAATTATAAACCAAAAACTCGGTTATTCGCATTTTTAACATAAATTTTGAGGTAATGTGAAAAAAGTGTCGATACAAAAGTTGTAGATCTTTTTATTACCTACAACTTTGCCATTTAATTTTTTTTCATAGGACTTGCAGTTTTACCGGAAATCGAGATTAACCATTTTTTACCCTTAAAACTCACCCCCTCCCCCTTCCCGACCTCAGATCGCCCGTAATTTATTTTTCCTTTCATTTTTGTTATATTCTCTACCTTTTCTAATGGGTTTCATCCTACTATAATTTTTTTTGGTCTCAAAAATTATCGACCCTGGTCTATTAGACAAGTCCGTCCGTCCGTCTGTCTGTGGTGCTGTTTCAGCGGCCAAACCGTAAGAGATAGATAAAGAGAATATTTAAGTTATAAGTTAAGAATAGTCTGATAAGACTACAAACCGGATTTGAGTAACGTAGCACTTCCGGTTTTCGAGAAATCACGAATTTCAAACGAAACCACACAAAATCTCCGAAGTTCTCAATTAATTAAATACATTTTTTTTAATCAGGTTTTGGTGAACATTTGGTTCACTGGTTTGCTAGTTTTTATATATTAATAAAGGAATAACTAAGCTAAGAAAACTATGTTTTTTTAATTTCTCTTTACAGTTGATTTTTTATGAGTTCAAATTTGAAAAATGTGCTAATGTGCCTACTTCTCCCCTATGTTTCTTTCGCTTCAATTAGATTTTCTGTCAAGGTGGACTAAAAAAGTGGTGTCCAACGGCAAATATCAAGTTGCAAATAAGTGTCATTTAAGTTATTTTGACCTTGACGGCCAGAACCTATTTCCTCTACCCCGTCGAGCCATGGAGCCACACCAACAGAAGAATAGCACCACCCTATTATTTACTGTGTGTTTTCTGTAAGATGACGGATATTTTCTAAGACGGGCGTTCCAAATCTAGCGGGAAACTGCTACATAAGCCTTACCTGTTAAAATGCAAATTCGGGTCAACGATTAAAGTGTACATAATTGGTTTAAGGGTACATTAGTGAGCTCGGATGCCATATTCTACTTACGCTTTGGATTGAATTACGGTTTCAAATATGATAAATGCATCAGATGTCCTAATTCCAGTAAGGTTATACGAGTGACCGTATACGAGCCAATAACAAAGTGGTTATGACTGAATTAGTTTCATGTGCTTTCGTAGGTACTCAGTAAATTCTTTTATTAAGGCACCTACTAAACGCAGCTTAATTGAGTACTTACAACATTATTATTGATTCTGACCACCTTAATCACTGAAGATAGAAAACATATTTCTTTAATAATTATAGCATCAGCAAATTCTATTTCGAATCCGAAATCCACTTCGTGTACAATTCCCTCTTACATCAGAACGCTAAGGCTTCATAATCTCAAGAAAAATAATTTTCACCCACTAATAAGATCACTCTGAGGAATTTAAAATAATTGAAATGTGTCAATTTTCGTTGTGCTTTTAGTACAAACATCTGGCGAGGGGAATATTAAAAAAGGGGGAGATATGTTTTTCCACAGGGTGACTGCGGTATAAAAGCCGAGCTTATTGTTTCAGCAAACCATTCTTCACAGAGGCTTCCGTTCACAGAGGTGAGTGAAGCAAAATCGCGCCCTTGTGTTTAAAACTGTTTTCGTTTTACTTCATTTTCGCTCGCGCCGCCATATTGAAAAAATTACGCCTAAAAGTAGTTTATTGACAATATCTCCTTTCCGACTCATTTTACGATAAAAACACTTACGCATCAAATGAAACTAGAGACAATTGCCTACAATTTATGTATCTACCTTTTTTTCATAAATTCAATAGTTTTGGCATGCGAGCACCACAAAATGTACTCCAACGCGCATTTTGGGCGAAAACTCATTTCCACACCACCTTGAATTTTACGATGATGTCGCACAGTATGTTATGAGACCGTAAAATCGGACATTCTTATATATAAAAATTGAAAAATATTTTTTTTTTTCTTTTTTAAAAATGAAAAAACAATCTTACTCTGTAACTAATAATATTTTGTTTAGAAACGTTACAGTACTTCACAAAACTCTTTAAACTACACGTAATAAGCGTTTTAAGTGCTTCGTAAACGCTTGCAGTTAATTAGAAAAAAAGATTTTTGTTATTTTTGTTTTTATTTTTTTCTTCATTATACCATAATATATGCAAACTTTTTCAATCGCAAGATATAGTCTGATATCTATTTTAGTTGTATAAAAAAATCAGCTTAAAATTCCGTGGTATCTTTGAGAAAAAAAATTAAACCTATTCACAAAATTTTTACGCGTCTAGGGTAGACACATTTAGAAGGGATAAATTCATGTCTAAAAAGTTACAAATAAAAATACTAATCGAATCCCACCTGTTATATACATAGTATTTAAAGGTCTAAAAATTGATATTCGGCGCCTGCAGTTGTTTTTAAATTTTTATTTTATATTAATGTAAATTTATTTTCAGTTGATAAAAATGTTATTTTCACATGATAGGACTGTTGTATCATCACTTGGGTCTGCGACCTGATCTTCGATACATTGTTCTGTAATATCGAACTAATATCGATCAATAGATTAAGCTTTTTGAGATCCAATAAAATTAGCTCAAAAAGAGGGTCTAATCTCGGGAAGGAAGATAATAAGCTGATATTTTTTATAAATCTTTGTTTTGACGTTTTAAGGTTACCTCATAAATCTCATAATCATATAAGATCTAGTTTCTGCGTCTTAAGTTATTTAAGTTCGAATGGGAAAAGATAGGAATAGGGAGCGATATAAGAACGGGTTTTTCATATATATCTCGCGTCCAATTCCAAGGTTAAAAGCTAATTTTACTGGGCTAAAGTATTTTCCACCGACATTCGACCTTTGTCATTTCTGGCATTGTCTATAATCGAACACAAGATTCAATCTTAATATGTGTGATTTTAATAAAATATTTAAACCTCCAAAAGAAATATTGCTTTTAAAAAGTTATAAGAAATTTACAATTCTATGTGACAGTCCTGGTGCATATTGTCAGTTTGTTTTTTCTCAAATATACCACGAAATTTGATGCTGATTTTTTTATACAACTGTAAAATGAGAATGTCCGATTTTACGGTCTCATAACACACTGTGTGTCGGGATAAAACGAAATTATATTTAGTCCGTCAGTAACATTATCAAAAAATAATGGACCACTTATTTTTTTCTTTTGTCGATCAACCAAAAAATTACAAAGATTAAGCGCGTCAAAGTTTGAGAGAGAGACGGTGACGTCACCTTTTAGTAAAACTTTTACGGAAACATTTCGTCATGCGACATTTCAAACCAATAGTATATTTGTTATATTTTGATTATGTGAAAAATTCATCATACCTTGTCTTGCCAACAACAATGTTCTTTATCTATTCGACTGTTCTAGGCAAAGAAGCTATTCACTGTGACTGTGACTGCTGTGTGACTCAGTATTCCATCCTTGTTTGTAGTAAGCGATTTTTTTATTGCCTCCGAAGGCAGACGAGCAGACGGGCCACCTGATGTTTAGTGGTGACCGTCGCCCTTAGACATCAGTAATCAGTGCCGTCTT